CAAAATGCTGGGATTACAGCCATGAGCCACCACCCCTGGCCCAAGGCCATATTTTTTTGTTTTGTTTTGTTTTATATTGTTTTGTTGTTTTGTTTTGTTTTTGAGAGAGTCTTGCTCCGTCACCTAGGCTGGAGTGCAATGGCATGATCTTGGCTCACTGCAACCTCCGCCTCCCAGGTTCAAGCGATTGTCCCTGCCTCAGCCTCTTGAACAGCTGAGATTATAGGCACCTGCCACTATGCCTGGCTAATTTTTTTGTGTTTTTAGTAGATACGGAGTTTCGCTGGCCAGGCTGGTCTTGAACTCCTGACCTCAGGTGATCCACCCACTCCGGCCTCCCAAAGTGCAGGGATTACAGGCGTGAGTCACTTTTTTTTATACGAGTGTTTTTATACAAATCCTACCTCGGGGAAGCACCCTAGAGGAAGGGGCTGAGGTCAAGAAACTCCTCCGGTGTGGTGTTTTGTGTAGCCTCCTGATTCACACTGGCCTAGCATGAGGCCCAGCTGCCTCCAGTCATGGACAGAAGAAAAAGTGACAAATGTGTAAATGCTAGGGATGGCAGGTCAGTCACTTCCGGTTTGTTAGTCATCTTCTCAGCGCAGGTCCAAGCTGACAACAAGGGCAGAGTTCACAAATCTGAGCTTGGCTCTCCTGCATGGAGAACTCCTTGTCAGTGGTGCCATCTGCAGGGCATTAAGGAATTTGCCAGAAGTTTGATGGGATTGGGAGGAGAAAATGGCATCTCCAGACAAAATGCTCTTCCCTCTTCCCTAGCTCAAGCCTCTTAGTCTAAGCACATCCCTAAATCCCAGCCTGGGTCCTCGGTAGGGCTGAAAGAACCATGTCCTTCCGATCTTGCAGCAAGCAATATTTAAGTCTTCTAGTCTTACAAGGCAGGACACAAGGCTGTGGTATCGCTCCTCTCCTTTTCTGCCAATTAAATCTGTCATCTTAAAATGAGGCACTGCATTCTTCCCATTTTAACAGTGAACTCAAGGAGGGGATGAACACTAGGTTGTGAAGGCATTTAAGCATTCTGGTGTTAAAAAAAAAAAAGAAGATATTTATGTAGTTAAGATTAGTTATCATTATTATTATCATCATCCTTTTCATCTCTAAGTAAACCCTCCTTGGGCTTTTAAAAATTCACATTTACTGGCCAGGTTTGGTGGCTTATGCCTGTAATCCCAGCACTCTGGGAGGCAGAGGCAGGCAGATCACCTGAGGTCAGGAGTTCAAGACCAGCCTGGCCAACGTGATGAAACCCTATCTCTACTAAAAATACAAACAAACAAACAAAGAATTAGCTGGGCATAGTGCTGGGTGCCTGTAACCCCAGCTACTCTGGATGCTGAGGCAGGAGAATCACTTGAACCCGGGAGTTGGAGGTTGCAGTGAGTCGAGATTGTGTCACTGCACTCCAGCCTGGGCAACAGTGAGACTCTGTCTCCAAAAAAAGAAATAAAGAAAGAAACTTGGCCAGGCACGGTGGCTCATGCCTGTAATCCCAGCACTTTGGGAGGCCAAGGCAGGTGTATCACCTGAGGTCGAGAGTTCAAGACCAGCCTGACCAATATGGAGAAACACCGCCTCTACTAAAAATACAAAATTAGCTGGGCATGGTGGTGCCCACCTGTAATCCCAGCTACTCAGGGGGCTGAGGCAGAAGAATCATTTGAACCTGTCCAGCCTGGGCAGCAGGAGCCAAACTCCACCTAAAAAAATAAAAACAAAAAAACATGAATATTTATTTTCTGAATTAATGGCTTATTCTTCTGTAGTGGCTCTGGAGTATGGCTTAGCCGATATGTCAAGACCTGGTATGCACTGCCTCTCATCTCCCAAGCTTGGATGCACATCTCCAAGTTTACAGATTGTTCCAGACTTCAAAGCCCTAATTGCTACCCCCTCTGAGACAGGCAGAAAGGAAATCTATAGTATAAAAGGAAAAATAGTCCCACAAAGTTAAGAGGTCCTGATTAGTGACAGAATTAAGATAACCAAGTATCTCTGTTCCCTAGGCCTCTCCCCTGAGACCTGATAAAGAAGCCTGGGCCTTGAAAGAAAGTGAGTGTTACAGAACCTTAGGGCTTAAAGTTTACATTGAGTAGAGCAATAAAGAATCTGGCTTAAGAGAGAAGTTACCATTGTTTATTTCTGCTTCCCTAGAAGCGTTCTATGGGCATTACCAGGCACTGTGCTTGCTGCTGGGCAAATGTATAGATAAGACGACTCCAGTGCCTCCTTAAAGGAAGGCTTGATGCCATGTCCTGTTTGCCTGAGCATTTCATTCTAGCCACCTCCTTCATCATGGCCCACTCATAATATTTCACTCAAAGCCTTAACTTATAATTACTAGTATTCATCTTGGCCTGGTGTGGTGGCTCACACTTGTAATCCCAGCAGTTTGGGAGGCAAAGGAGGGAGGATTTTTGTATTTTTAGTAGAGATGTGGTTTCACCTAGCTGGCTTGACTGGTCTTGAACTCCTGACCTCAGGTGATCTGCCCACCTTGGGCTCCCAAAGTGATAGGATTGCAGGCATGAGGTGCTGTGCCCGGCCCTCTCAGTTCTTTAAAGGTGTCTGCTTTCCCTTGGACCATGTGATGGCTACATATGTGTTGCTATGCGAGGCCTGCAGGCCCCCGACCAAAACTTTCTCTAAAATGCTCATGCCAAATCAGATTCTCTTGGGAGCTGAGAGCTACAGTCATCTCTTAGTGTCCTTGGGGGATACTAAAATCCATGAATGCTCAAATTCCTTATATAGAGAGCTCTAATGTTTGCATGCAACCTATACACATTTTCCTGTATACTTTAAGTCATTTCTAATTACTTGTAATACCTAATACAATGTGAATGCTATGTAAATAATTGTTATACTGTATTGTTTAGAGAATAAAGGGAAAAGTACATGTGCAGTTCAGACACAACTATCCATTTTTCCAAATATATATTTTGAGATAGGGTCTCTCTCTGGCACCCAGGCAGGAATGAGGAATGCAGCAGCATGATCATGCTGGCTAATTATTATTATTTTTTTTGTAGTGACAGGGTCTCCCTAGGTTGCCTAGGCTGGTCTCAAACTCCTAGGCTCAAGTGATCCTCCTGCCTTGGCCAAAGCGCTGATGTTACAGGCATGAACCACCATGGCCAGTTGCTTCCAAATATTTTCAATCCACAGTTAGTCAAATCTAGATATGGAACCCACAGACAGGGAGGGTCAACTACATTTTGGGAATTTATAGGATTTATGAGCAAAACAAACAACTGGGAAAATTGTAGTCTTCCTTTTTTAAAAAAAATCATATATTCTTTCAGTCTTAAACCAAGAAGACATCAAGGTCTTCAGCAGCCATAATTGTTCCTGTGTTTTCCAGATTTGAAATCTACATTTTCTCCTAGGTTAAATCCTCTATTTACATTCTCTGTGCCTACAAATCTGTTATATGTATCAAAAATACTTGAAAAATATAAAGCATGCCAAATGCTATAAACTTCTATCCGTTTACAAATGTTCCCACGTTATCCTCATGTACTGCAGACCTCTGCCACCAATACATAGGCTTCTTGTTTGGTCTGCTCTCATAGCATGACTTTTATTGACCACCGTGAATTCTGGTCCTACTTTTTCCTGTCACAATAGGGCTGCAAACACCCCACCTCACCATCCTCAAATACTCTTACAGCCGTTTTCCCAGGACACGGTTCTAGACAGGGTCTGTCAACAAGGCTAGAGTGCAGTGTTGCAATCACAGCTCACTGTAGCCTCAACCTCCTCAGCGTCTCAAGTAGCTGAGATTATAGGCGCTTACTACCAAGCCCAAATTTTTGTACTTTTTTGTAGACAGGGTTTCATCATGTTGCCCAGGCTGGTCTGGAACGCCTGGGCTCAACTACCTGCCTCAGCTCAATTACCTGCCTTGACCTTGTGCTGCGATTACAGGCGTGAGCCATCGTGTCCAGCCAAGGATCACTCTTATATTTCCTAATTACATTAGCAAGGTTAGCCAGCCACTTTTAACAGCAATTTACATGATATTCAAAATTACTTATACTTTCTATACATAACCCATTAGCAACTACCCAGTCATACTTTTAAAAGCTAAATGAGCTCGATTAGCAGAATGACTTTCATGTTTCCCCACCCCCTAAGCAAGGTTCGAGGTGGTAAACTCGTCTGACAATCTAGGGCTCCTTTTTCCCTATAGTGGTGCCTGCACAGAAGTAGGACCCTTGACATCACCAGCATATTGCAGACTCTATACTCCAAGTGTAGATGAATCCCAAAAACGAAGGCACTTTTAGAAAAAACACAGGAGACAAAGCTTTTGATGTTAATGACTTTACTTTGAGACATGATGGAAAAATTACAGGTACACATGGAAAAGACATGATCACTGAGTGAAAACAATCTAACCAGAAAGCTTTAATGCCTGTCAGCTAAGTTGAAGCTGAAATTCTGGGAGCATGACATGCTGCAGGGCC